ACGAATGATATTCCAGTGAGAAAATTAATTACTTATATTAATTGTATTTCTTATTTTAGTGACACAATTACTCATAAATAAAATTTATTCTCTATTGTTTGATTTCATAATTCCATATGTTTTTTCTTTGTTGTGTCAGAAAGAAAAGCCATAGCTTGAAAAAATCAGAGATGAAAAAAACCAGATATGTGACTTTGTTAATACTAGTATTTGTCGGTTACGGTGACAACGACTATTCATCTTGCCTCAATAACACACTCTTACGATCATTCTCACACTCACTCTAACGTTTACCCTCATTCTTATCTTCACTTCCATTCTCACTCTAATCGTCATCTACTCTCAGGACAGTGAATTTCTAATTTCTTAGCTACAGTAGCTGCAAAAAGTCTCACCGTCAGCTAATCGAAACTTAATCGCTTCTCATCTGGAGGAACTAAAAGAGACAGGTCAGTGTTGCTTCTATCACAAATTAAAATGTCACGTCAAACGGTTTCAGTTGGCCTGATCTATGAAATATTCTTTGGATACTGTCCATATAACACTTGATCAGAATCGTGGAAAAGTGATTGATATCTTCAGCTAATTTTCATCATTTTTCTTGAAATTTTCTCCATTGAGTATCCTGTTCTAATCAAGTTTTCCTTGAAAATATCACGACCACAGTTATCAATGAAGAAGAAATCTATGCTGAGATTGTTCGAGATAATGATGACGTTCCTACGCCTTCAGATAATAGTGGATTGAAGTATCATACCCATGATAGAATGCAGACATGCAAATCTTTATTTTTAATAAGAAAACGAATACTAACGCATTTAAATAATGGAAAATTAGAAAAATGTCCAAAAAAAAACTTTTTTTTATACCCTAAGGAAAAAACGTGTTTCATCGTAAATCCTTTGCATTAAGGTCCGTCGATTTTGGATTGCTGCTTGTGATCAGTGTTTACCATGATCTATTTGTCGCCAAATTATTAGGCAAAAAGATTGAAGTTTATGTACATTTTACCCAGTAGTTGGACTTCTTGCGACTCGTTTTTACGACTTCTGGTTTCCGCTTTTCTGAATTTTTTCATCGGGTATTTCTCTCAAAAGTCAGAAATCAGCAATCGGTGATTTAATAATATACTGGTAACAATTTGAGACTTCCCATGGTCTCATTGAGATTTATTACAAGTTGAGTTTTATTTTGAGAAACATAAATGAACTCATTGAATTCACAAGAAAAGCCATCTGTTTCAATCGAAGTTGGTTCTTTTTTTTTTTATTTCTGTATTGATTACAATTACAAGTAAGAATTCGTCATTTTGAAATTTTATTCTTAAAATCCACTACTAGAATACGTAAATGATTCTTTTTTTGGATATAATATCTGTTTCTTTGAATTCATTTCCAAAATTATCATTTACTAATTTCATGTACAACTTGATGTATGTTATTTGTGTTTAGAGCACTTATTATAACACTTTAGAAGTTGTTCTCAAATTCTTTTGAATAATAATAAAGAAATCCAATCGAAAACATGTCTAATCGATAGCTTATTTAAAACATTCAATTCAATCAATAGTTATTAATTGATCGCATATATATGAAACTTTCCATAAGTTGCTTATGAATATTTTGAAGGAAAAATCGAAGAACATACAATATGTCAACGTTGAAAATCTAAAGAGCTTTGGTTAACTCTCGCATGATCATCTGGAATTTGTGAGAGCTTCGGCCAGTTCCACCGCTCTATTATAAGTCCATAGTATTAGGTTATATCGGCTCATCTTCTAAATATGCTCTAGAGAAGGTTAGTAATGTATGTTGATTACATCAACTGATAATCCCTGACTACTATTAATGCAAACAGACTGCTACCCCAAAATACATGTAAATATTTGGTATAACCATATGAGCTTCAGGCAGATTTTATTGAGATTTTTTTGTGATATCAAGCGTTCATAGAAGTCAATCAAACTATATCGTTTCATATATAGATTATAGATACTTAGTATAATATACTGATCACATCAATCAGTCATAGGCAGTTGTTCTTGTTATGATGAAGAAATTCAAGGTACGCCGAACTTCATGATTGTTATGAGTGTCTTCGAATACATGGAAAGTTGAAAAAGATTAGATAATGACTACAAAGAAACACAGATATAGAGTTTGAACCAGAGATAGAGCCGATCTGGGTAGGTCAGACTTGCCCGTATCAGACTGTCTGAAATCTATATCGACTCTCGACTATCGAAAATTCGTATTTTTCCATCTGTGAATAATGATATTTGACATAGTCAATTTTCAGCAAAGTTTCATTACACATCTTCTATGAGATACTCAAAGTAAAAAATTCATAAGACACATCGGTAACGACCGGTCTACCAATAGACTGGCTTGTTTGAAATTTGTACCGATACTGGTTTCATCTCTAGTTCAAACTAACGACTTTTGTTTTTTGTTAGTGTTTCTTGTAATCAAATCTTATATAAAGTGTCTTCATATGTTTTTTATAAACTAATAACAACTGCTTATATCATATTTTATTTTAACAAGTGAAATACACATACATAAACTTCAGACGGACAACAAATCCAAATCTTCAATATGGTCGAGTCACGTTAGTTGATTTAAGTCGCTTTTGTTTTTAAAGATGTAATAATCAAAGCATTAATTAAAAGTGAACACATATTTTATCAAACAAGGCCTATACATAGTTAATTTCAAACTAAAATTGAGAATTATTCGTACAATATCCTTTAAATGATTTTTTTCCATTCAAAAATAAAATAAAGATGAAAGTACAGTGAATCAATATAATTTCAACTTCATATTCAATTACTTGCAGCTATTGACAATAGTAAACATGTTCAAACAAAATCTTTCATTGAAACCTTCGAATATACGAGATGCATTGTCCACTATTTTCTATAATCTAGAAGGAAAAAACGACAGACGATCTATCTCATTCATATTGAGGCACGACTTACTTAAACTATAAAAAAATTTCAAAAATTTATTAACTTGATTAACTTTATTGATCCATCTGTAGAATGAAACAATAGAATTAATACATCATCATGAAATCCAATCTGTTTCATATTTGTCAATTCATCTTTGATTCTACTGTTTATCCATATCTACATTTTTTTCTTTCTGCAAAATTATTATGTCATTCAATTAGGTCAAGCAATATAGTTTGACCTTGTTGGAGTAAATATATTTAATGGTATATCAATGAGAATCTATGATTGTTTCACATAGAAGCTAAAATACCTATCATACATTTTAATATAACTTCAAGAAACTATTCTCATAAATTTCGGTTTTTTATTTGTGCCTACAGAAAAACAGAAAATGATTCAAATACATCTTTTCTTTGTGACATGAACACTGAATTTACTGTTGCTGGCAATACAGTTGCATGATTCAGTTAAGAGATGATGATTTAGAAAATCCTTGAAATTCTGTTTTATAATGAAAAACAGAATAATTATCAGTTTTTTCTAAAAATTAGCGAGATACTTCAGACTAATACTATCTCTCTTCAAAAGTTTATTTGGATAGATAATTTATATGAGATAAACAAACGAACATATATCCGTTGTAGAATCTACTAAATATTACCCAGAACACAAAATATCTCTAAATATAAAACTTAATTTCTTTGTAACTCATATCAATAAACAGAATAACAGACAAGCTGAAATAGTTTTTAAAAAAAAGCAAATAACAAATTGATTTGATATTATAAATAGATAACTACATTTTCTAAGAAAAGAGAGAAGCTAAATGCCGTTATGGAATAGGAACGATAATTCAGTCATAATAATAATAGTAATAATAATAACAACATCATATTGTAACTCTGTCGAAATAACTGTTTATAGAAGTGTAACACCATAGATGGATCCATTGCAATAGTTTGTAAAGCATAGAAGTATATGCCTGCGTTCTTATCAATACGCCTACTTGTTAGAAAGATGATAAATGTCCTTGATGAGAACTGACGGAAAAGAGAACTCGATTGAATACACGCATTACAATAGTCATTACAATGAATAGTACAAAAAAGAAATCTAGTTAGCGAACGGTTGGATATTTTTGACGATAGCTCTTTATTTGATAGAATTTTTTGGATTCTTTATATTTTCAAAAAATAAGATAAACATCATTTACCAAGTATAATATATTCTTATTTATATTGATATGTACCATTTCGAGTTCTGTTTTTTCCCTTCTGTTCTACTGTTATTGCTATTTAGTTGTCTCTTATCTTGGCCATGAGGCAAGCATATATAACAACTGACTTCCTAATCATCATTGGATATTGCGGTTGCACCCAAGCGAGAATGAGAAAAAGAAAGATATAGAACAAGAAAAATTGTCTCTGTATTTTTAGGACTAGAAATGCATGCATACACACACTGTTCTTCTTCCATTCGTTATCGGTTTTTCTTTTGCTGTTGTTGTTATATGTTTTTAGCAGGCATGAGAGAAAAGATCAGGCTAAACGTTACTGCATTCTATTTTCTTTATACATGTTCTTGATGATAATCGAGCTTGCTTATTTTTTTTCCGAATGATACTACTAAGAACCAAAGAGATAAAGCGAGAAAAAAAATAAGAATTCTCAAAACAACACAACAACTATTACCGCTGTCGTTTTAACCGTGTTAGTATAAAATAAGAAACAGAAAGAGCGCGAGAGTAAAAGGATATTCTTGGAAAACAATAACTGAGTGTAAGCATAAGGTTAAGAAAAAATTAAGTAGAAGAATAGAAAATTCCATACATATTGTAAGAGGTTAAAGTAATCCGTCTTTGTATATAAATGTAGCATAGTAAAATAGCGACTGTTCTTGATCAATCAATCGCTCGTGTTCATCTTATTTATTAGCCTTTTTTTTCCTTTTTCTTTTTCGACTCTATTATGTAGTAACTTTATATCTTAAACAATAATGTTTATACTATTTCTATAGATATATCTTCATAGAATTATAATAAAAGATGCGTTCATCTTACGATTCATATCATCATTCATCAAGCTCTCTTCTTAATTCTCATTATGCATCTCCATTAAATCACTTGGATTTAATTCCAACGACTGCTGGAAGTGACCGAGCAGAATTTCATGATCGCTATCAAAATCGAGTAAAAACAAGAAATTAGATTGTTTATAAAATTATTCAGTATTTATTTTCTAGTATGCATGGTTAGAAAAAAATCATGTTAATGAAGTTGGTTCACAATATAAATCATTAGGTAAACAAGTTGATCATAAACCATCAACATGGAGATGCGAAGATCAAGCAGAAACTGGAAGGTAAGATAAATTTTGATTAATTCATTACCGACAAATTATTTTGCCTTCAGAGAATTTTTACGTATAAATGATGAATGTGCTGATAAAATCTATGATATTCGTGAACGAAGTGATATATCTCGTGAATCTCTTCTTAATTCGGATGGCGTTGCATCACGATTTTATCAAATGGAAGCTGATGCTGTTAGTTATTCTTCATTCTTTTTTTGTTTTTTTTTTTAATTAATTCTTTCTATTTTAGTTAAAAAATCGTTATGAATTAAATAATATGAAACGTAAATTAGATGGCATTAAACAATTACGTGCACGTCTATTTAAATAAATAAATTTTCACTTTTTTTCATAACAAAATCATTTTAGTTTATTAATCATTTTTATTTTGTATCTATCAATTACTGGTGACATGCAAAAAAAAACAACAGCCAAACACATTAAAGATCGGAGCTTGATTAAATATTATTTGTTTTTTTCTTTCTTTTCTTCTTTTTTCGTTCATATGTACCTTCTTCTTGATCTTATCCTTTACAATTATGCGTGGTTAACAATCATAATCAAACAAAGAAATGTTATCAACATTTGATTGTTTGTATATGCTGCACCATTTTTTTCTTTTGCTATCATTTCGAATGGAAGATAATAGCACATATAAATCTTTACCATGCACATATTCAAATAAATACCATAGATCAACCCTTTGACAAAATAGTATGGTTATGTTTAATGAATTAATATTTCAAAAGATTATTATAGCTGTGAGAGTGTTTAAAAAAAAAGTATAACCGGACATTTATTATTTGTTTTCATTGAGAAGAATGATTGAACCATTTTTGGATGCTGTTATGATTTGAGGATGGAAAAATAAACGGTTTGATATTTTTAGCATTAATAAGAGTCAAGATGACAGTGTTAATTGTCTTGTTCGAGAAGGAGGTGTACCTAATTAATACCTTACAAAAGGCCCTTCTCATAGTAACGGTAAGGGCAAAAGCTTTGCATTACTTTTGTTTTTTGATATAGCGTTGCAACGCAATATTGTAGAGACTTGATGTTTTCTTTTGTTTTTGGTAGAAAGACCCAGATGTTAAGTACAAAATATGTAGCAAAACATAATTGGAAATGTTTCCTGAAGGTCACAAAAACCTTAGAACAAAAAGTATTGCAAAACTCTTTCGCAACTTCGGTCACAATGTTTTTTTTATTCTAATATGTGTATATATAAATACAGCTGTTCGTTACAACGAAGGCTTTTGAATCATATTTAAATAGTTGGTCTAATGTACAAGAGATTGAATAACAAATAGTTTGAATAAAAATTTAATTAGACTTTTACAATGCAGAAACAATCTTGTGTTTGAATATTTCACAAAGAAGTTGTGTCCTATTCGAAACAATATCGTTTAGTGAAAGACTCGATAAGTTTCATTTTTCATACAAAATACGTATCTTCTAAGAACATGTCTCTCAGGACGGGATTTTGGCTTTTGATTGTCACTAATAGATGCGAAAAATCTATGATACGATGAGACCCTATAACAATGTTCACATCAACTGTTGTAAAATACAAAAAATTTCTGCTTTTTTGGTACAAGAATAATGCCTTGTTCTTACGTTATAAAACTCGTAAAAAGAAGAGTAAAAATATAATATGTCGTATTTGATGACGGATTTTTGTAAATTAAAAAAAGCTATATTTTTGCACTAAACATCTTACCTTTTCTACTACAAAAAAAAGAAAGCATCAAATCTCTATAATAATGCATCTTTTACCCTAACCGTCATAATACATTGCCTCAAATACGTTTTCTTCTCAAATTCAGAACAAGTTTGAGTTTTAATTAGTCAGAAATTCTTAAATTATTCTTTTTATTAATACACAAAAGAGTAAGAGTATGCTGTTGCAATCAATAATTTAATTCTTCACATGGAAGATAGGTTTATTTTCCAAATCAGTTCCAAATTGACCTGTGCGTAAAAAAAAATCTTTCTACAACACGTCTGTGCAATTTTTGTCCACTTATAAGGCATTACAGGGAATCAAAACTAGTCAACTACGTAAAATAAGAATTTCATACACCTTCTAAACCTATTTTTTGGATTTTCTTAGTGACTTAAACTTAATTTATTGAGAAGAAGTTATTATTAGAAATCAAACACGACATTTGTACAAAATCCTACATAAAAAGGTCTTGGTAAAGTGGTGCTTTTCGATGCTTAGATACGATTAGAGAAGATCAAAAGGAATCACTTAGAAGTCGAACTCAATGCTCTTTCCATATGTGTAGTGACAATTTTTTCTGACTTGTAACTACTAAGTAGTTATATGTAAGCAAATATTTGAATAAATCAAAAACGTTCTTTACATTAATACGGAAGTTCCCAAACTGATTAATCGCTTGGGAGCCGATATTATGTATAACGTGTAGACCCCATAAATTATGAATACGTTGAGAAAAAGTTTCAGCCTTTAGCTTATTGATGCAGAGATAGTGAATTTCTATGGAAGTTTTCAAGCCAACATCGTATAATTTCTCCAAGAACAATAGAAAAACTGATTTTCAAATTTTCAATTTGAAATTTTATACAGAGACAGATCTTAACAAGAATAGTTCATTGTAAAAATTTCAGATCTTTCGATGTACTTCCATCCTGAAATATGAACATCGAATCTAGATTTGTAATTATATGAACAATGTAAAAGACATGCTTCAGGCTTATCATATTCAGATTTTGGAAATCAGTAGACTTCCCGTTAAAAATCAGGAGCTAATCTGAAGATTCTTTTCTTAAATTAGGACGAAAACGAGGTGGTTTTTATTTGAAGTTAGAGGAGCACCTATCAATTTTTTCTCGAAGTATAATGAAGCATGCATTGTATTAAGCGCTTTTTATCTTCGTCATACTAGCTCGATAACGGAAATATTTTAGAAACCATGCTAAATAAAAAAGAAAGATTACCATTGGAACTTCTATCATCGATCATTTCAAAGCCAATTATTGAAATATATCATAAAGACAATAGAAGAAAAGCGTAAATTCTTAGCCTACTATGAGCTAGAAAGACTAGGTACATTTGACAAGAAAATGATTTCGCGTGCGACATATGGCATTTTTGCAACACGAATGCTGTGTTTTGACAAAAGGAATTTGTTTAAAGAGGTTTGTATTACTTTGAAAATAGTTACAAAATTGCGTATACTAGTGATCAATGATCACTTTTATTTTAAACTTTACTCCTACTAAGTCGTATACCATTTTGTTTTCTTTTGTAATCTTAAGAAAACTCCATGCGACTGAAAACACTCCTACATTTCCATGACGTCCGTTTCAATTTGACTTATTCCAAAAAATTACCGTCTACTACAGTTTGGGACACAAAACCACGAAAACCATAACTTCTTCATCAAGCTCTCCAAGACACTAGTCGATGATTGTTCTGGTTAAATGAGCGAGCCCATATTCAGCTCTATGCAGCCATCTCTCTTACAGATATTATCCACATCTGAACTTTGACTCTTCTCGATATGACACAGGACAAAAATGGGCTTCTTTGGAATCACTTCGGCAGTGTCTTTGTAGAATATGTTTTTGTTTCTGGCACGCCAATTAAATGGCCTGAAAAATATCGACGATTTACTGTTTAGCTAGTGCTATTCTCTTATCGGAGTACGTAAATACGCACAAAGTAGAAAGAATATCTATGTATGAGATTTTTGTTAGAATTTGAACATGATTTAGTCATTCATACCGTCAATGAATCTGAAATATAATTGCGGTGTCAAATTAGTACATTAATATTCAGTAGTTTTTTCAATGCATTACATTAAGGAAAACATTTTGACGAACTGAGTAGAATAAGCTGGAATTTATTTCTAGGAAAAGCATACGGATTCAATGAAAAATCTCATACGTAACATTGTGTGTGTTATCTTAACGGAATACGAATCAATCCCATCTCAATTGTTGGCACTATATCTTCGCCTTTATGCGTCACTAAAGCAGAAAATTTTTCTTATTGATTCTCTTGGGAACAATCATTCATGATGTCAACTTTGTTCTAGAAATTACGTCAAGAATTTTACAAACTGGTCGAATTGATTATCCGCAACAGTGGAGCGACTCTCAAGCCACTCCTGTCGGACGTAGTTCATGTTGTTTTTCTTTGGTAGTCCTTTATAGATAGCAATAATCTCTTTTTCGATAATATTTAAAAATGTGCCCCATCACTGAACATATGGAATTCTTGCATTGCATAAGCAGACCTCTTACGTGTTTGATAAGCTGTGTCATATTTCACAGTCAATTGTGGACAAATTCATTCCGACTATTGAACATGAATTGGCATTATGAAAATAAATTCGTGCTCTTTGTTTTAATTGTCTATCGGCATTATTCTAACTGGTGGCCCATAATAAATGGATCTATCAGTATTTTGCATATTTATCATCTATACTTCAGCATAGAAAAAAAAACATTTTTTATAGAAAGATTCTTCGTGAAATTCTCTACAACACGTAGGTATTTTTATTATCTTAAATAGTTTCCATTATTTCGTGACATACGTTACAATCGATTGGTCCAAGAAGTACAATTTTCAAAGACAACATTTTTTCGATTTCTTTTTACTGTATATTTTAATTCTTCGATCATTGTTGCTTGGGATATCACTCTATTCGAGTCGATGACTTTTATAAATTCATTCTAAATACAGTAATCCAATGGGTTAAGATCAGCACTATTAAGTGGCCAATGGTTCTTGTTGATAAATGCTGGAAAATAATCTCAATCTTTTTATTTTTATTTCTTTACATTTTTCACAAGAGATTCGAGTTTTTCGATAATGAAAAGTATAGATTTACATATAGTTGTAGTCTTAAAACATCAAAATGGTGATTATCCGATGAAAATTTTTCGTGATTTGAATGGAGCACATATATGATTTAACAACCGTTAAAAGATAGTGTGGAATGATCGATGAAATTGATTTTATCAATTTGACATCACCATCAGGTCGTCCGCGTACAATACGAACTAAAGGTACAATGAACAAGACTAAACAGGAGCTACTAAAAAACAAGGTATCAAATCGAAAAATTGCACTTGAACTAGGTATATTTCGAACAAGTGCTCAACGGATTTTTCGAGATGATCTTGGCTGTCGACCGTATAAATATTTGAGCGAACCAACACTTACCAAGAAAGATAAAAGAAAAATGAAAACATTTGCTAACTGGATACCAACAAATTTTTGAAAGCAGGAAACATTAAAAATTCGATTTTCTCACGAAAAGATGTTCGACATTGACAGAGTTTACAATACCCAGA